GTTCCCTACCTTTTGCTACCTTTTGTTAATCTTAGGGACCACACTTGAGGCCCCCTGTATCGAGAAAGCTAAGAACCACATGGCTGGAACGAGTACTGTTTGCTGAAACCTATACATACCAGTGAAACTAAAAATATAAGCCTTCTGGTTTCCAGTAGGCTAACAATATCAGTAACAGTAAAGAAAAATATATAAAAAAAAGTTTTTTGCCAGAAAAAAATCTTCCTCTTTCTTCTAACATTATCACTGTTTGTGGGGCTAGTATGTGAGTATAACCTGCGCAGAGGACTGATCAGTTACACTGGCTGCTGATAGCAAAATCACAAATGTGTATCGGTGAACAAATATGTGAGTGCAAACATAAAAATTGCTGCGCTGCTGCCTCTACCAAAAACGACTTAAAATAATTAAATAAATGAATGAATGAACTCCCTACTACACAAAGGGTCCCCACAAATGTTCATGTGCTATAATGCCCCGTGGGCTGGCAATTATATCCCTCCTCCCCAGTGACTAAATCCTAAATAAACCAATAAGTAAATACAAGGTGCTTAAATGACAATAGTGCTAAAAATAGCACATATGCAATGTCATAAACTGTTTATACAGTGAAATTGTATAAATCTATATATATATATATATATATATATATATATATATACAGTTGCAAGAAAAAGTATGTGAACCCCTTGGGATTACGTGGAGTTTTGCATGAATTGGGCATAAAATGTGCTCTGAACGTCATCTAAGTCACAACAATAGAAGAACACAGTCTGCTGAACATAATACTACACAAACATTAGATGTTGCCATGGTTTAATTGCACATAACATGTAAACATTCACAGTGCAGGGAGGAAAAAGTATGTGAACCTTTGGAATTAATAACAGGTTGACCCTCCTTTGGCAGCAATAACCTCAACCAAATGTTTCCTGTAGTTGCAGATCAGACCTGCACAACGATCTGAAGTCATTTTGGACCACTCCTCTTCACAAAACCGTTTCAGTGTAGCAATATTCTTGGGATGTCTGGTGTGAATCGCTCTCTTAAGGTCATGTCACAGCATTTCAATCGGGTTGAGGTCAGGACTCTGACTGGGCCACTCCAGAAGGCGTATTCTGTGCTGTTGCAGCCATTGTTTTGTTGAATTACTTGTATGCTTTGGGTCATTTTCTTGTTGCATCACCCATCCTCTGTGGAGCTTCAGTTGGTGGACAGATGGTCGTACATTTTCCTGCAAAATGTCTTGATAAACTCTGGAATTCATTTTCCCATCAATGACAACAATCCGTCCAGGCCCTGAGGCAGCAAAGCAGCCCCAAACCATGATGCTCCCTCCGCCATGTTTTACAGTGGGGATGAGGTTTTGATGTTGGTGTGCTGTGCCTTTTTTTCTCCACACATAGTGTTGTGTGTTCTTCCCAAACAACTCAATCTTGGTTTCATCTGTCACAGTATATTTTGCCAGTAGTGCTGTGGAACATCCAGGTACTCTTTTGCAAACTTCAAACGTGCTGCAATATTCTTTTTGGACAGCAATGGCTTCCTCCGTGGTGTCCTCCCATGTACTCCATTCTTGTTTAATGTTTTCCTTATTGTAGATGTGTCAACAAAAATGTTAGCATGTGCCAGAGATTTCTGTAGGTCTTTAGCTGACACTCTGGGATTCTTCTTTACCTCATGCAGCATTCTGCGCTGTGCTCTTGCAGTCATTTTTACAGGACGACCACGCCTAGGGAGAGTAGCAACAGTGCTAAACTTTCTCCATTTGTAGACAGTCTGTCTTACCATGGACACACGAACATCAAGGCTTTTGGAGATACTTTTGTAACCCTTTCCAGCTTCATGCAAGTCAACAATTCTTGATCGTAGGTCTTCTGAGAGCTCTTTTCTGCGAGGCATGGTTCACATCAGACAGTGCTTCTTGAATCCAGTAAACCCAAAACAGGTGTGTGTTTTTTAAGGGCAGGACAGCTGTCAGCAACACATCCAATATCATCACACTGATTGGAGTCAAGGTTGCCTCACTCCTGGCTCCAATTAGCTCTGGGAGAAGTCATTAAGCTAGGGCCTCACATACTTTTTCCTCCCTGCACTGTGAATGTTTACATGTTATGTGCAATTAAACCATGGCAACATCTAATGTTTGTGTAGTATTATGTTCAGCAGACTGTGTTCTTCTATTGTTGTGACTTAGATGACGTTTAGAGCACATTTTATGCCCAATTCATGCAAAACTCCACGTAATCCCAAGGGGTTCACATACTTTTTCTTGCAACTGTATATATATATATATATTATTGGGACTTAATATATATATATGTCCCAATAGTTGTGCAAACATATAAAAGTTGCAAAACAATTGAAAGTTCAAAAAAAAATCTCAAAGACACCCACATCTGCATCCAGTGTGAATATTAAGTGACACAGTAGTGAATCTTATCCATAGCAATTCTCTGTGTGTAGTGCTCCAATTAGTGCTCCCCCTCCAGAGCCCCACCCACCACAGATAATTGACCACCTGGAAGGGTAGGTCAAATATCGCATGAGATGTTGCAGCGCTCTCCTGCAGGAAAGTTGGCCGTCTGTGTGGTCTTGACACCTCTATACGCTGATGACAGACTCCATAGTGGAAACACTTCTAGATCAATCGTTTGCTAAAAAACTCCTCCAGAACCTCCACAGTACTCATAAAAACCATGTGTATAGCACTTTAAATCCCAGCAAAAAGCAATTCCTACTCAGAAGACAAGTGTAGCACTATCAATCCCCACCCTACATGTTTCGTCATATGATGTCATCAGTAACATGTAGTTTATAATGCAGGGTATGCATAGCCCAATCCTGGCATCTGTAAGATGCCAAGAATGGAGCCAGGTGCTGGCGCCATGTAACTCCAGCTCACATGTTTTCATATTTCTGGTTAGCACAGAAAGGCTACTTTCACTCTGATCTGCGGGAAAAATTCATATGCGTTTTGTAGCACGTTTTCACCGCTGTAGCAGTGCATTTGTTACAGGATGTGACTCAAAGAACACACCAAAGAATGAGGTGCATTTTTCATGCGTTTTTCCCACAATTTGGGAAGGTGCGTTTTGGGTGCGTTTCTTTACCGAAGCAAGCAGGATTTTAAAATCGCACCTGACGCACAATGGAATGGAGTAGAAATTCACAGTCACACATTTTTTTTTCCGTTTTTCTTCCGCTTTTTCTTTAGATTTTTTTAAAAATGCAAAAGCATAATAAAAACAGATCCGTGTGAAAGCAGTCTTATTGGGCTTGATAAACTCTGATTGGCTGTTGCGGAGGAATGCGAGTTGACCTACAATACATTGCATTTAAAATAAACCATTATGATGCAGCACATATAGCTAATTAAGCACATAGTAGAAACAATAGTTGTTTGAAACGATCTATTGTTTTTTGATGTATTTCAACACTTGTACACAGTGCATGTCCACACTATAAGTATAATTCCTACTAATGTCATATGAATGTGTATCACTATTTACATTTAATACATTGACTGACCTTTACATGGGCTATCCACCCTTCATTCTATCATGAATACTGCTGCCAGACTCATTCACCTTACCAACAGTTCAGTGTCTGCCAGTCCCTCCACTGTCTTTCGCTCACCTAATGAGTGCAATTCAAAATACTAACAACCTACAAAGCCATCTACATCCCCCCCCCCCCCCAGCTACATCATCAACCTAGTCTCATAATATCACCCAAACCGTCGTCTCTGCTTCTCTCAAGACCTGCTGCTCTGCTAGCTCAACCAAATAAAAGTGATACTCGTGAGCTAAAATGTGGTATTCTCTCTGTGTAACAATCTTATAAATGTGTGAAACTTAACAAATATCAATAAAATTGTGATGCATCAACACTAAACACATACTTATAAACTGTGTGAAAAAATTAAATTGAAATGATATCTAAATGTGTCGCGCTCCACAACGTATATTAGATCAATCATAAACATATAGCATAAAGTAATATAAAAGTAAAAGAAAAAAATGAAATAAGTGCTTCAAACCGTGCAATAGCTGTGCAAAAAAACCTATAAATATATAAAAAATGTGATATATAATCATAAAATATTATGAAGTCCACTTATTGCTTCAAACAGTGCAATAGCTGTGCAAAAAAAATATAAATATATAAAAAATATATGTAATATATAATCATAAAATATTATGAAGTCCACTCTGTGCTTCAAATCTTGCTGGTGCCAATAAATGTGCCGTGCAACACTCCCGGTGCTAAAGAATAGGTGTACGCTCACCTTTAGAGATGAGCGAATTATTCAAAAATTCGATTCGGCTGATTCGCCGAATTTGTGGAATAAATTCGATTCGAGTCGAATATATTCGCTGTGAATTTAACTTAAAAAAGGGTGTTTCTAGGCTTCAGAGAGCCTTTATATTAGTGCAGAACACTGTACCTTTAATTTAAATGCCCTTGGAGTCTGCTGGGGAAGAGAAATAATACTGTCAGTCAGTATGACATGCAGATGAGTGCCGTCGATCTTAGAATCACCGCACACTTCACTCATTTGGGCAGTCACGGGGCCAAAACCAGAGTGTGGAGCCACAGTGTGGCGGTGGAGGCAGCAGCAATGGGAGGCCATACAGCACCCTATGACAAAATGGAACCCACCAGCAGTGTGAGGAGACCTGAAAGTGGCACATGGCAGAGTGTGGCGATGGAGACAGCAGCAATGGGAGGCCGTACAGGGACCCATGACACACTCTGGACTTGGCAGCAGCATGAGGAGGCGGTACAGGGGCCCATGGCAAGAAGAAGAAGAAGAAGATGAGGATGAGGATGAGGATGAAGAAGAAGAAGAAGTAGGATGAGGATGAAGAAGAAGAAGAAGAAGAAGAAGTAGGATGAGGATGAAGAAGAAGAAGAAGAAGTAGGATGAGGATGAAGAAGAAGAAGAAGAAGAAGTAGGATGAGGATGAAGAAGAAGAAGAAGTAGGATGAGGAGGAAGAAGAAGAAGAAGAAGAAGTAGGATGAAGAAGAAGAAGAAGAAGAAGAAGAAGTAGGATGAGGATGAAGAAGAAGAAGAAGTAGGATGAGGATGAAGAAGAAGAAGAAGAAGTAGGATGAGGATGAAGAAGAAGAAGAAGAAGTAGGATGAGGATGAAGAAGAAGAAGTAGGATGAGGATGAAGAAGAAGAAGAAGAAGTAGGATGAGGATGAAGAAGAAGAAGAAGAAGAAGAAGAAGTAGGATGAGGATGAAGAAGAAGAAGAAAGAAGTAGGATGAGGATGAAGAAGAAGAAGAAGAAGAAGAAGAAGGATGAGGATGAAGAAGCAGAAGAAGAAGTAGGATGAGGATGAAGAAGAAGAAGTAGGATGAGGATGAAGAAGAAGAAGAAGAAGAAGTAGGATGAGGATGAAGAAGAAGAAGAAGAAGTAGGGGTGAGGATGAAGAGGAAGAAGAAGAAGAAGTAGGATGAGGATGAAGAAGAAGAAGAAGAAGAAGAAGAAGTAGGATGAGGATGAAGAAGAATTCCAGTGCAGCAAAAAGTGTATCTGCAGAGAGCTCCGCTATTTCTGACAGTTCTCTGACAGTTCCTTCACATTTACAGCGGTTGAAACATTGTATCTATTTGTTTCCGAATAAAAAATCTGTATCCTAAATGGAAACGAATAGATACAATGTTTCAACTGCTGTAAATGTGAAGGAACTGTCAGAGAACTGTCAGAAATAGCGGAGCTCTCTGCAGGGACACTTTTTGCCGGCTGTAGAAGGGATGAAAATCGGCCCGATCGGGTAAAATTCGATTCGCGCATCCGAAGTTTGCTAATATTGGGATTCGGCGCGAATCGAATTTTTCCTAATATTCGAAACGAATTCCACTTCGCCAGGTTCGATTCGCTCATCTCTACTCACCTTATCAATTAGCCACTCCAGATAGAAAAAAAGCGTTATTAGCCATTTAGAGTGGCAAATTGATAAGGTGAGCGTACACCTATTCTTTAGCACCGGGAGTGTTGTACGGCACATTTATTGGCACCAGCAAGATTTGAAGCACAGAGTGGACTTCATAATATTTTATGATTATATATTACATATATATTTATATTTTTATATGTTTTTTTTTTCACAGCTATAGCACGGTTTTGAAGCACTAAGTGGACTTCATAATATTTTATGATTATATATCACATATTTTTATATATTTATAGGTTTTTTTGCACAGCTATTGCACTGTTTGAAGCACTTATTTCATTTTTTTCTTTTACTTTTATATTACTTTATGCTATATGTTTGATTGATCTAATATACGTTGTGGAGCGCAACACATTTAGATATAATTGCTCTGCTAGCTCCTCACCTCCTTTTATGTTTACCTCCAGGACTTCTCCAGAGCCTCTCCCATCCTGTGAACTCACTACCCCAATCTGTCCGGCTGTATCCTACTCCTTAAATACCTGAATGGCCTACCCCACCTCTACCTAAATAAACTGTACTTTAACTTTCTCCATCAGCACATCACTGACAGATATTACCTTTGGTATCACTTGACCCTCCCCTTCAGATTGTAATCTCTAATGAGCAGGGCTCTCCCAACCCTGTTGTATTGAATTGTATTGTAACTGCATTGTCTGCCTTCATTTTGTAAAACATTGTGCTAGTTGTTGGTGATATATATGTAGCACCCTCCAAGTTAATGTAGGTTGGTAGGGAAATTGAGTTAGCTCCTCTGTAAATAGTGGAGCAGGGTTGATTGTTTATGCCTGCTCAGTGTCTTGTGGGCTGCTGCTCTGATTGCTTCTCCCTGTATTCTAGAAGATTCTAGAAATATAGTGGGAGGATGAATGAGAGAAGCAGCCTGAATATTTATGAAGACCCAGCCAATCCCTGGGGAGGCGGGCCCAGTAGGTGGTCAAGGAGCTCATAATTAGTCTGAGACCTGAGGCAGAATGGGGAGAGTCTCTGGGTCCAGTCCTGCCAGAGGAGACTCCAGTGCATGGGCAGGATTGCTTGAGGTTCCACTTAAAATGACATTGAGGTCCCAGCTGGAGCTTTAGCGGGGGGACCTATTCGTGAAGTCTTGTCCTGGAGTCAGTTTAGGTCTGGAGAGAGCTCATTGGACAGTGCCAGGAAGATGTTGGGGGGGAGGGGAGAATCCAAATGTCTTATGGTGGCGTGGATCTGCATCTCCCTCACTGAAGTGTGTCTGGTAGCTTAGTGACTGTGTGTAGCTCTTAGTTCTTGATCCTCAGTAGGTCTTTAGGGGTGCACTACATATAACTCCCATATAATTATAATATTACTAATAATACTGGTTTGTTTTACTACAACAACCTTAATTGGTTACCCGCAAAATTATCACTGACATGCACAATTACACTCAATGGCCAATCACATGGCAACAACTCGATGCATTTAGCCATCTAGACGTGGTGAAGACAACTTGCTGAAGTTCAAACTGAGCAATAGATATGGTAAGAAATGGGATTTAGGTGACTTCGAACGCAGCACTGTTGGTGCCAGACAGGCTGGTCTGAGTATTTCAAAATCTGCTGATCTACTGGGATTTTCACACACAACCATCTCTAGGGTTTACAGAGAATGGTCCGAAAAAGAGAAAATATCCAGTGAGCGACAGTTGTGTGGATGATAATGCCTTGTTGATGTCAGAGGTCAGAGGAGAATGGGCAGACTGGTTCCAGATGATAGAAAGGCAACAGTAACTCATGTCAATATGGACCAAAATATCTGAGGAATGTTTCCAACACCTTGTTGAATCTATGCAACGAAGAATGAAGGCAGTTCTGAAGGCAAAAGGAGTCCAACCCGGTACTAGCAAGGTGTACCTAATAAAGTGGCCGGTGAGTGTAAATTAACAATTGCACTCACAACAACACATTATGACACACTTGTAAATCATGATCTTGACAATCTTGTGCCATCATCCTTTTGGCACACTACTATCCACCTCTACTGACAAACTCAGTTTCTGAGCCATTATTTATTTGGCACAAGTTGTGTGATCTTTGTGCACAATATGGGATTTTTTTACATTTGGCGCACTACACCCTGTTCCAAATTATTATGCAAATGATATTTTTCTCATTTACCTAAATAATTGATGTAAATAACAGTCAGCATAATTCTCATGTTATCAACTATTAAGAGTACAATTCACATTTTATTCAACAAACCTCCTAATGATAACAGGATTTTTGTTAAACATAAAACACTTCCAATGACTGTTCCAAATTATTCCGCACAGGAAGTTTCAAAACACTTTATAGGTTGTAAAGAACTGAAAATTGTCTTTTGTTGTGTTTGCAGCATATTTACTGAAATCAAAAGCTATTTCAATCAAACTTTTAACATTTTAACTTTTTAAACATTTTAACAGATCACGTTACATTGTAACATAGGACCCCTTATTTGATAGCAGCTTCACAAGTCTTGCATCCATTGAACTTGTGAGTTTTTGGACAGTTTCTGCTTGAATTTGTTTGCAAGATGTCAGAATAGCCTCCCAGAGCTGCTGTTTGGATGTAAACTGCCTCCCACCCTCATAGATCTTTTGCTTGAGGATGCTCCAAAGGTTCTCAATAGGATTGAGGTCAGGGGAGGATGGAGGCCACACCATGACTTTCTCTCCTTTTATCCCCATAGCAGCCATTGATGCAGAGGTATTCTTTGCAGCATGAGATGGTGCATTGTCATGCATGAAGATGATTTTATTACGGAAAGCATAGTTCTTCCTTCTGTACCAGGGAACAAGTATTTAACTTGAACAAGTATTTAACACATTCCATAAATCAGTTTCCTGTACATCAAAGACATGGCACACCACCAACATTTTAATGGGCCCATCACCTTTAGCATGTAAGCAGAGCCAAGAAAATGTTGGTACAATCTTTCATCTTCATATACATCTGTCCGCTCCTCCCACGACCTCCTGCTCTTTAGCTCCCTTGTCTCCTCCTCCCATGCTCATCTCCAGGACTTCTCCAGAGCCTCCCCCATCCTCTGGAACTCTCTACCCCAATCTATCAGACTAACGCCTACTCGACCCACTTTTAGGCGATCTCTGAAAACCTATCTCTTCTGGGAAGCCTATCCTGCCCTCAGCTAATAACGGAATCTTCTATTCCTCCTACCAGGCCATCCCCCACAGTTACTACCTTTTGTACCACCAGCCCCTCCTTCTTAGATTGTAAGCTCCCAGGATCAGGTCCTCCTAACCCTTTTGTATTGAACTGTATTGTTTCCCTTTATATTGTAAAGCTCTGAGAAAACTGTTGGCGCCATATAAATCCTGTATAATAATAATAATAATATAACACTAACAGGTCTCCTTTCCAATTTCTACAATAGTGTGAGTTCTCGATCCCCGAGGGAGCATTAAAGTAATCAGTCCATCAAACCATGCACAGTACCTTGATACGACACTTCACCCCGATACCTTCTCGGCTGAGCCTGGTGCCGGTTTTGCGATTGGACATCAATAAATAAGAGTTGCGTCCAGTTGGTTTTTAATGCTTTACTAGTGAAACAATAAGGCTTGGCTTTACTATTTGAGTTAAAGGCTCCCCTATGCGGAAGATTAAACCACAGTTACATTTTTGCATATGTTGTTTTTTTATTAATATTCACCCTGGGATCTTTATGCTTGGGGATTTACAAGATAGATATGTTTTGCCCTTGTTGGGTCGATATTCCAGTTAGTAAACACTGTGGTAATTTATTCAATTTGGGGATGGTGTCCATGTAATAATTCTTTCCTCATATGCTTTCTCTGTGAGTATAGCTCCATATATGGCCCTGGAAGCACCTGAGTGACCCCACTGTGGGATCCATATAACTCCCCTGTTTGGAACACCTGGTTGGGGATGCCGGCTGGTGATACTGGTGGATACGAAAAAGAAAACGTTTTTAATCTTTTGGCTGTATTGAACAGAAAAAAATACCCATATGGAAGAAAAATATATTTGAAATATATTTTTTAAATATTCTTCCCAAATATATTGCCATATATTTGAAATGCTACAATTTTGGTCATATTCAATATATTTCAAAATATATTAATAAATATACAGTATATATACACTGCACATTGAAATGTGTTTTTATTACAAAATATATGAAAAATAATTTTAAAATACTTTTCAAATATACTGTATGTCTTTTAAAAATACAAATCTACGTTTTTGGAATGCATTTGCAAATATATGTACAACTATATGTTAAAATTACTTTTTATATGTTAAAAAAAAATCTGAAATTCCATCCTCTGGAGGGCAAGTGGTTAAAGTTACTTACAGTATATAGCGCTGTCCATTTACGCAGTGCTTTACATACATATATATTGTACATTCACATCACATCAGTCCAGGGGCGGACTGACAACTCATGGGGCCCCCGGGCAATAGGGGATCATGGGGCCCCTGTGTTCTTGCCCAAACTCAAAAAAGCCTATGAAAAAGGTACCAGGGGCATCTCATGGGGCCCCCTACTGACCCCGGGCCCTCGGGCAGCGCCCGAGTTAGCAAATGGTCAGTCCACCCCTGCATCAGTCCCTAACCCAGGCTCTATGTTATATCAAGCTTGCTCTTGCTACTTCAGCTGCCTTATATTTGTTGTTTTTAACTATCATGTTCTTTTGTGGAAAATTTATGGTTTCTAATATTTGGAATACAAAATTATGTTATTTTTTATTTTAGCATGTTGCCTTAGTACCCGGTCATACCGGTGCGATTTGAGAATTGAAGTCGCACCTGAAATTGCATCTAATGAATGTGAAGGTCTGTGTCTTAACATCTGCGTTTTTCTGCAGCG